ATATTTTTCCATTCTCTGCTATCTTTTTCCCACACTTTTCCATACTTTTCCAAACTGCGTTGGAACCCTGTATACATTTTCTTTCTTCCAAAATTGTATTTCCAGCTCTTTAAAAAAAACAACAACACACAGTATTAAGGGAATAGTCACAAACAATTTATTACAAACAGGCGGCTTTTCACTTTGCATGATATTAGTAGATGGATTGGAGTCATGTGGATTATTGTGATGTTTTCAGCTGTTTGGACTCTCATTTTGACGGCACTCATTCACCGCAAAGGATCCATTGGTGAGCAAGTGATGTAATGCTCACCAGAGGCAAACTCATCTACATCTTGAATGGCCTGAGGGTGAGTAAACCTTTCAGCACATTTTCATTTTTAGAGGTGTTGCTTAACTCAAAAAGGAAATGATCAAAATATTATATTTATGTTGCCAGTGAGCTTAATCGCAACATTTAAACTGCAGCTGAGTTCAGTGTCCCAAAACATTCATTTCGCTTTTTAATTTCATCTTATAGGGGTCATATGATGTTGCTAAAAAGAACATTATTTTGTGTATTTGGTGTAATGAAATGTGTTTATGCGGATTAAAGTTCAAAAAACACATTATTTTCCCCATACTGTACATTATTGTTTCTCCTCTATGCCCCGCCTTTCTGAAACACGTTGATTTTTACAAAGCTCATCGGTCTGAAAAAGCGAGGTGTGCTCTGATTGGCCAGCTATCCAGTGAGTTGTGATTGGCCGAATACCTCAAGCGTGTGACAGAAATGTTACGCCCCTATCATATTGTGATGCAGTGTCCCGGCCAGAGCGATGAGACAAAAACATTAAAACCCATTATAAACTTTGCAACTTTACAGATCTTCTTTATGCACCAAGAGCTTGTAACACTCCAAAGAGAAAGGAAAAATTTAAATAGCATCATATGACCCCTTTAAAATAAGACAGTTAATGTTTTTGTCAGAAAAACAAACAAACAAACAAGCAGTCAACTCATTTATCTTCTTCTTGTTTTTCACTCTCTTGGGAACTCCCAGATGTAGCTTTGAAGAAGTTTAAAAGCATTGTGGTGTATGGCACAGAATCCTCCTTATAGATAATTGTGGTTCGAGTGTGTTTTGTTTAATATATCCTTTAGTTGACCTTTTCAACTAAAAACAAAATGAAACAAAACAAACAAACAAAAACAGTACATTAATGTGCAATAATACATTACATGCAGTTTTGAAATTATGACAAAAATGGTCATTTATTTAGTATAAAAATTTCCACAGTGATTTTTTTCAGCTGCTATGATACATTTTAAGTCAAAATGTCATGTAAATTAATTGAATACTTTCGGCGGAATTATAATGCTCTAAAGTCCTATTATAATTCACCTTTGTCGCTTTCCAGCGTGTATTTGTAATGTGCGTAGCTAGTAGCCACGCATGGTCCAAATACCAACAGCATAGGCCAGTGACGCATTCCGGTTCCATTTTACAGGATCTATTGTTGCTCGTGTTGTATCATGTATAGTGTTTGTCATAATATACATGTATTTTGATCTTGTTAATAAAAAAAAAAAAAAAAAATGTTGCTCGTGTTGTCACTTCCTTGATAGAAAAGTGACCATGACCAATCAGAACGAGCGACTTAATATGGGCGGGATTAAATACTTCCTCTTGCTGACATTTTTTATTTAATCAATTCAAATTCTATTAATTCAAATTAATTCAAATACTACAAAAAATTATTCAATTATTCAGAAAAAATATTGTTCAGGCCTATGATTAAGTAGTAAATAAAAGCACGGTCACTTGGCATCTGTCACCAGTCGCAGCTGTTTGTGATTAGATGAGTGGATTTTTTTTTTTAAACATTTCATAAATATTTATTTGCATGTCATTTAACAATCATTGCTATTAATACATTTTATAGAATTTAGAGTTCAGTCACCAAAACATCCTTAGATTTGAATGCGAGTCTAATATTCTGTTTGACAGCCAAGCGCCCCCTCGAGGTGCCCAAATATTGCATCCTGTCAGTCAGAGTTGTTTTTAATGTCCACTAGAGAACGCCAGATTCCAGTAATCTAAAGTCTTTGATAAACAGCAACGAATGTTTCCTGTCCATTTTGTGCCGGCTTCTCTTTAGTTTCTATCTAGAGACTTAAAAAGAAGCTGTAGCCTGTAACATTATATCCTCCTGGGACCCAGGCATAGACTTTTGTGCTCTGAAGAGGACATTATATTTTAGTGAATTTCTCTGAGACCTTATACAGGGGCGGTTCTGGACCACAGTAACTGGGGGGGCCAGACAGGGGCCACTTGTGCTTTTAGGGGGCACAATTTTAAAATTCATCTTAAACTACTTTAAGTAGCCTATTATTCATTCAGTAATTTTTCACCATGTCATGTATCGCTGCAATCTAGATGTAATCTATAACAATGTCAACTAAAATATGTCATATGACACACAGCAGCCACAAACAGATATAGGCTTATGTCTCTACTGAAAAAAACAAAACAAAAAAAAATTAAATAAATAAAACCATCACAGAAAATTTTAATGATTTCCACAACAAATAACATTACAAACAATCCATTTTTAACCATTAAAACCATTAAAAATGTAGTGTGTTTTCTGTAGTGTGTTTTGGTACATATCCCATTAGGATTTAACAAGCCAAACAAGCCACCAATAAAAGGCAACCAATTACCAGTAGAGGCTAACAGGGTCCATTACAGTTTCCCTTAAAGGGGTCATATGATGCGATTTCATTTTTTCCTTTCTCTTTGGAGTGTT